AGTGTTCTGTTGACAGATGGGGCAGGTCTGTTGACTGGCCACAGGTGCCTCCTGGGGAGGGTGGTGGGCAGAGGTGGGGCTGGGGCGGTGGGGCTGACTCCCTGCCAGCCTGGCTGCCCTCCAGGGCCTGTCCTATGGTGAGTGTCTCTAGTGCACAGTGGCTGACTCTGGGGCACTGCGGGCAAACTTGACTGCGGAAGGGCGATGTGTGGAGGCCAGCCAGTGCCAGAGTGCTAGGGCTGCGCCCCAGCCAGAGGTCATGCTGTGGAACAGCTCCCCGTCCTCACTGTGGAGACCAGCAGGTGCTGGGTTGCTGGGCCGAGCTCTGGTCAGAGGTCACACTGTGGGACAGCTCCCTGTTGTCACGGTGGAGAGCAGCGCACACCACTGCTCTCAGAGATGAGCCTTCCACGGTTTCGTGTCTCACAGCCCAGCTCACGGCTCAGGGCTCACTGCCTACGCTGTTCTTGTTCCAGGGATTTTTCTGCAAGTCTGAGGACGACTTCAATGATTGGTGCCAGAGGGTCAGAAAGGTGTGTGGCCATATGGGCGCTCTGCTCTGCCTCCGGGTGCAGGTGGGAGGTGCCCAACAGGGCTGGTAGTCTGGTTGTCACGGGAGTAGATATTGCTGTCATCTCCATGCTGGGGGCTTCTGGGGCACACACTCCTCTCTGTGGACCAGGGCACTGCTGAGCTGTGCCCTGCAGGGTGCCCACCCCTCCTCTCTGCCTCTGGGGGCAGATGCTGAGCTGTGCTCTGCGTGGCCTTGGGAGTCACCTCCCCTCATCAGCGAGGTGGGGTGAGAGCAGTGTCCACCATGGCCGTGCCAAGTGGCCCTTCTCTTAGCAGCAGTGGCCTCTGTGGGGCAGGGCTGTGGTGACTGGGCTGCCCTCACTGTTTCCCTGCAGCTGTCCCTGCTTGGGGGCGCCTTGCCCATGTTTGAGCTGGTGGAGCAGCAGCCCTCCCACCTGGCCTGCCCCGATGTCCTGAACCTGTCCCTGGGTGAGTGCCAAGGCTGCAGGGCCACTGCTGCGCGGTCCACCCCATCTCGTCTGTGCCTGCCTTGCTGCCCCTGGATCAAGGCCACTCTGCTGGAGGAAACTGCCCACGTCCTCCAGACCGTGGCCACAGAGGGTCGGGGCCAGCTTGGGACAGCAGGCTAGTGGCGGGGTGCTCCTTCTCCCTGTGCCCTAGCTGGGCTCAGGCGGCTGCCCCCTTCCTTGCCCGTCCCCCACCCCTCCCATCCTGCTCAGACCTTGCAGTTCAGAAGAGGCTGGCACCTGGTTGTGAGGCGTCCAGGGTAGGACAGGGCTGTCCCCTCTTCCAGTGTCTCACCCTACAGTCCCAGTGGCCAGAGGCATCTGAGGAGGTTTTGCCTTGTTCCTTCTAGATTCTTCTGACGTAGAGCGACTGGAAAGATTCTTTGACTCAGAAGATGAAGACTTTGAAATCTTGTCCCTGTGAACACCCTGGGCTGGGGGCCCAGCCTCCTTGGCCCCTGCTGCAGGCGCATTTGAGAACCCAGCTCGGCCTCATCGCGGGGCCTCTGCATTCCATCCCTCCAGCCTCCCCTGCCAAGAGCTGCGCCCTGCCGCCTCTGCCCAGAGGGCTCAAGGACTGCGCTGCCCTGCAGGCCTTACCATGGGAATCAGCCAGCCAGCCCCAAGCACACCAGGGCCTCCACATGGGCTGCCTGTGCAGGGATCAGGAGCCTCCCGAGGTCTCCAGGTGGCGCTGCCAGCCAGCCTCAGTGCACTGGCTCTGGCCCTGCTTCCTCCTGGGCACTCGGGCCTGTGGTTGGTTTGGAATTAAAGCCCTGTTTGAAGCTGTTTGACACAGACATGAATTTCTGGGGCACTTCCCAGGTCAGAGTCTCAGGACCACCAGGTTGGCATATGCAGAGCACTGGCCGCAGTGGCCTCACACTGCTCGTGCTGGGCAGGGTGAGCTGTGGGACCACATGCCCTCTGTCCAGCATGGCTGATCAAGGGCTACCTCGGTGGGAAATCAGGTGAAGGAACTGCGGCAAGCCTTCTCCCTGTTTGGGGGAGAAAAGTGTTCAAGGAACAGGTCACTGAGAGAGCCAGGGATGCCGGTGGATGCTGAGCCTCGGGCAGCTGGTGTGTCCTGGGCGTCTCTCGGAGCAGGGCCCAGCCGTGCCTCCCTCCGGTGGTGATGTTCTGCCTGCTGCTTGCTTGTCACCCTACTGCCTGGATGGGGAGGAAACCGGTGCAGAGCTGCCCTCCGCCTGGGACGCCCACCCCTCCTAGGTCACTGAGGTTCTGCCTGGTTTGGGCTGGAAGGGTGAAGGCACTTTGGCTGTGGTGGTGTGTGGACCATGGGAAAGGGGTAAGCAGAGCAGCAGGCTCCTCAGCACTCCTCCAGTGCCTCCCCTCACCCTGGCTCCCGGCCCTCAGCTGGGACACTGGTCCATTCCCAGTTCTGGTCCTGACTTCTCCAGACCTGATGCATCTGATGCCAGAGACGGGAAGCCTGGGGCTAGCCCCTGAAGGAGCCATTCCTAAGTCCTGGAGCTGGCCTGGTGGGCAGGACTGTCCCAGTTGTGGCTACTCTAGGCAGCTCCCAGCAGCCCACCCAGGCAGTGGGGGATACCTCAGCCCCCCAGGTATGATGACATAATTTATTTCCTCTTACTGTCCCTTCTCTTTCCACCCTCCCTATTCTCCTTCAGAGACAGCTGGGGCCAGGGCAGGAGGGAAGGCTGGGACCACTTCCGTCCCTCTGGGGCTCTGTGCTGTGGTGGCCCAGGAAGGTCTCTGCAGCTCCTGCTACTTGTGGGTTCCCAGGGTGGGTGGGCGGAAGGCCCCCTTCAGGGGGACCATCACTGAAGAGAAGCATCCTTAGTAGCATAGTTTGCAATTCTTAATGGCAAATAATAAGTTTCAGTAGAAAACAAAGTTTGTGTGTCTGTTGATTTCTCCTCCAGTTGTAGCTCAGGTCACAGGTTGTAGACTTCCCCAGGCTGGGCCAGTGGAGCCTGCCTTGCTTCCCGCCTGGCCCAGCGAGGAGCCTGAGATGTCTGTCCTCGTGCTGGGTGACATGTGATCTTAAAGATTAGGAGGGGAAGTTGTAAAAGCACCCGAGGTATAGGGTGGCTTCAGGCTCCCATCAGTGTCCTGAGTGACAGCCACCCACCCTCCTTGTTAGTGCCCAGCACCCAGACAGGAAGGGAGCTGCTGCTGGCCCTGGTGCTATGACCTGAGGACAGTCACACCACTCAGGACACACACAGAGGCTTCTGTGGCCAGGCCTGCACACCCAGCCCTGGAGCAGCTCTTTGGGGCCTGGAGGGCAGAAGTCCTTCATGCTGTGCAGACAGACCTCTCTGGAGACTCCAGGGGACAATGTGTTTCCAGAGGCACCAGCATCCTCAGCTGTGTGCTGCCCCCCACCGACCCCGCAGTAAAGATGCTGCAGTGGTCCTAGACAGCTGCTCACATAAGGTCCTCCACCTAATCCCACTTGCATAGCCCTCAGTATCCTGTCTGTTTAACTGGGGGGGGCTCTGTGGTAGGGACACAGAAAACCCAGAAATTTTTCGGTGGAGGGCAGATTCTACCAGGAAGTTTCCACAAACCATTCTCCTTTGGAATTGTTTAAAAAGGGATTGAACGAGCCGAGCATGGTAGAGCACGCCTATAATCCCAGCTTCTCTGGAGGCTGGGGCAGGAGGATAGCAAGTCTGAGGCCAGCCTTGGCAATTTAGCAAGGCCCTGACAGAAAGGGGGTAGGGATGTAGTTCTGTGGTAAAATATCCCTGAACACCCCCCTTCCCCAAATAGGGTAAAAGGAGGCCTGAGAATGAAAAGCTCTAAGAACAGCAGCAAGGGGCAACATCAATGTGTATGGGGTACAGGGCCTATGCCACTTGGATGATGGTGCCCAGTGGGCTAGGATGCGGGGACTCCCTCTAGCAGCAGGGCCCTTCTCCATTCAGACGGGTCCCACTCAGCCAGCCACAGTGGGCATCTGAGAACAGAAGAGCCCTGTGGACACATTTGTAGGGTAGTTTTTTATTTGAGCTTATAAGGAATTCAGAAAAACTGCAACCACTTATCATTTCCAATGATCTCAATGGTAACTGCTCAGAGTTATTAAAGTTTAATACAAAGGGTGCAGTGGGGCACTCCTATAATCTCAGCTACCTGGGAGGCTGAGGCAGGAGGATAGTGAGTTCAAAGCCAGCCTCAACAGCTAAGCAAGGCCCTAAGCAACTTAATAACACCCTGTCTCAAAATACAAAATAAAACTGGGCATGGTGGTACATACCTGTGATCCCAGCAGCTCAGAACAGGTAGGAGGATTATAAGTTCAAAGCCAGCCCCAGCAACCTAGTGAGGCCCTAAGCAACTCAGTGAGACCATGTCTCTAAATCAAAATGGCTGGGGATGTGGGAGGGACTCGGTGGTTAAGTGCCCCTGGGTTCAATACCCACCACCACCACCAAAAATTAAAAAGGACTAGAGATGTAACTCAGTGGCAAAGCACCCCTGGGTCCCATCCCTGGCAACAAAAAAAGTGTCCTAAGAAGCCAACTGTGATGGAGCCCACCTGTAATTTCAGCTACTCAGGACTGAGGCCAACCTCAACAACTAAGCAAGGCCCTGAGTAACTTAGAACATTTCAAAAAGGACCGAGAATGTAACAGTGGTAAAGTGACTCCATGTCTAACCCCTGGTAACAGAAAGTTTAATATGAAGCCAGCAGTGACGGAGCACAGCTGTAATTCCAGCTACTCAGGAGGCTATGGCAGGAGGATTACAAGTGTGAGGCCAGCCTCAGCAACTAAATGAGGTCCTAAGTAGCTTAGACTGTCTCAAAAAAAAAAAAAAAAAAAAGGATGGGATGTAACAGTGGTAAAGTGCCCCTGGGTTTAATCCCTGGTAATAAAAACAAAGTTCAATAAGAAGCTGGCTGTGGTGGAGCACACCTATAACCTCAGCTACTTGGGAGGCTGAGGCAGCAGGATTGCAAGTGCCAGGCCAGCCTCAGCAACTAAGCAAGGTCCTAAGCAACTTAGACCTTCTCAAAATAAAAAAGGACTGGGGATGTAACAAGTTGGAAGTTAGTCTAGACAATGTAGCTCAAGAAAGGCTGGGGTGTAGCTCTGTTGGGAGAGCTCCCCTGAGCTCCAAGCCCTGTGCCACACACGCAACATACCCACACTCAGGACATGGGAGTGGGCAGAGGAGGACCTTCTGCCACCCGACTTGGTACCCACACCTCCAAGGTCCATGGTGATGGGATCCCTGGCATACCCCAGCCCTAAATTCCCAATGAGCTGAGGCGCACCAGGAGCAGGAACCCCAGGACCCCAAGGCGGGCCCGGTCACTTCCACAGCGCCCCCAGTGGCCTTTGCGCAGCATTGCGGATGGCGTCCTCAGAGAGCACGCGGATCTCCTCGTGCACAGCCTCGATGCTCCTGGAAGCGTCGACTACCTGTTCCACAGGATGCAGGAGAGAAGACCATCACCACCTTACTCTGCTCCAGGTGCACGTGGTGACTGGTGGGCCAGAAGCTGGAAGGGCCAGATTAAATCCCCAGCACAGGGTGGGGACCCCTGGGACCCTTCACCCCACCTCCCTCTGAACCCTAGCCTCACTGGCATCCACTCTGCTCTTGGGCAGGCCTGTGCTGTCCACATGAAGTGGGCATGGACGCGGGGGTGCCCACTGGAGCCTGTATCAGTGGGCAAGCTCAGAGCAGAGCCTGAGGGCGCCTCCTGCAGTTCCTCAGCTAGGACACGGAGGCGGTCTCGATCGAGGGCAGCTGCTCAGGCCCAAGGACGCTGCTCAGAACATGGGTGTTCTGAAGAAAAGGTGCATCTGCTTCCTGCACTATCCCAGCACAGGACGGCAGGAGGAGCATCAGGACCAAGGGCCAGCCCAGAGAAACAGAGACAGACAGAAGTGCCAGCATCTCCCATCAGTCCGCTCTTCTGCTGAGGGGCTGGTGGGGGCCTCACATCTGTAGGGCTGACAGAGACCCTGGGCAGCAAATTCTTGAAAATACCAAAAGTGTACACGGCTCACAGAACCTAAGGCTTTCATGAACATGGTTGTGCAGGATGGAGGATAGTTTCTCAGGTGGCACCTCCCAGCCCCTCTAGGATGAGGTTAGAGGAACCGGCATCTATTCTAGAAAGCAAGACAGACTACAGGACTCAGGATGCTCTGCTCAACAAGACCCAGAGGTGAGACGCACTCGCGAGCACAGACAAAGCCAGGCCAGCAGCACTGTCTACAAGCGAAGCCGGCTGAGCACCTCACCCTCACAGCTGCTAGGCTGAGCCCTAGGCCTGCTCTGGAGGAGCTGGCCGCACAGGTGGTGCTGACCTACAGACTTCCCTGGCAGCCTGCCAAAGACACTCAGTGACAAGTGTCCAGGAGAAGTGGAACTGGGGTCAGGGTGGGAGTACACAGTGGAGCAGGGGCTGCTGGGAGGGCAGAGGCACATCCTGGCAGGGCAGGGAAGGTGGGCTGACTCCTGGGATGGTGGGTGCAGCAGGTGTGAGGGCTGGAGGAGCAGGACTGGGGAGAAGCCAGGGCACGACACCGTCCCGAGCACAGGGAGGTGGCTGAGCAGAGCCCCAGAGGCCCTGCGGAGGGGACACTGTGAGGCCCTGGATCACATCTTTGCAGGAAGGCCAGTGTGACCACGGGTCAGCCAACGCATTCCATGAGCACAAGGAGTGAGACAGGCTGAGTACTGGGACTGCTGCGCCCCACCTTGACCATGATTCCTGAGTGCAGAGACAATAAACCCAGGTGCTGCCCCTGGGATGGTGTGAAGAACGTGCAGGATGCACGCCCTGTGGAGCAGGCTGGGCACACGCCCACGGGGGCCTGCAGAGCCGCAGGCCACTGCCTCCTGGGACGGACGACTCCTCAGACTCAACTGGCCCACCAGATGAGGCGCCAGGCCTCTACCCCACAACTCATGGGGATCAGGGATGAACATGAAGCTCAGTGGCAGAGCTGCCTGGCAAGCTTGAAACCCTGGGTTCACTCCTGAGCATACCACTAAACAAAACATCCTGCTGGCACCCAGCAGCCTGCACAGCTGCGGGTTTCCGTGGGTGGGAAACAGACGGAAACTACAGCAGCCATGCCCTCTGCAATCCTAGACACACCTTCCAGTTCAGAGTCGAGTCTCCCATGAGCTGCTGGAAGCTCTGCAGTGCCCGTTCCTGGAAAGCTCTGTCCTCGTAGCGCTCAAGACCAAACTCTCCCCGCGTGGCAGCATCCGCCAGCCCCAGCTGAAGGAACAGGATCAGATCAGGCTGGGGAAGGCCGACGTCCGGCTGTTTGCACCAATCCAGGGAGAAGTTCTGCCAACAAAGAACCCATCCATCAGAAAAAGAATGTTTTGCTTCAAAAGTCATTAAAAGGGGGGGGAAATGAGCCGGGCATGGTGGTACACACGCCTTAATCTCAGCAGCTCTGGAGCCTGAGGAAGGAGGATCACAAGTTCAAAGCTAGCCTCAGCAACTTAGTGAGGCCCTGTCTCAAAATAAAAAGGGCTAAAAGGGCTGGGGATGTGGCTCAGTAGTAAAGCATCCCTGGGTTTAATCCCTGTTACAAAAACAAACACAAACAAACAAACAAAAAAACCCAAGAGCTACCATTTAGTAAGATACCAAAAGATAAGAATTCTTTCTTTCTTTTTTTGGTGGTACTATGGATGGAACACAGGAGGCACTCTATCAGTAAGCCATACTCCTGCCTCCAAAATAAAAACCCTGAAACTGCTAATGCAAGGAAGGGATTTAGGAACCTAGACATCAAAAAAAATGTAAGTGGTCCCTCCCATGTGGACCCGCATTGGGGTTGGATCCAATATAACTAAAAACTCAAACTGATCAGATGCCTGAGGACACTGGGATGGCTGCTAACGTTTTTGTTTTTTTTTTCAGATGAGATTCTCTTCCTTAAAAGTCATTTTTTAGATGTATACTGAAACACAAAGGAACTAACAGTGTCTGATGTAGCAGAGAGCAAAGGTCCCTGAGACCAGGGTGGTGGTATTGGTGGCACTAAAACTCCTCAATGAAAAGCAGGAAAAGGGAGCAGCACCGTCTCCACAGTCACAGATGCGTGGCAACAGCCCTGACCATAAGCTCAGGAGACATGCTGCAAGCTCTGGTGGGAGAGCAAGGCACTGGATGAAAACACACTGGACCACCCTGAGAATACCACAAAACGAATCACCAAGTAAAACACGTGGTTCCGCCTTGAAAACAAGCTGCAGCAACACAAGTGTGTTCTTCCTATCAACAACAACCAAATCACTCACCATAGCAGGCAGAATCACAAACTCCAACGAGTGCTTTCAGGGGTGCTAGCATATGGTGCCTTGAGCCAGGGCAGCTCCCGTCCACACGCCTGGCATCCGGAGGCCAAGCAGCACTCACCTTCTTAGCACTTGTGAAGGCAACACCAGAAAACGCATATCTGTCCACAACGAGGGTGACACCCTGGCTCAGCTTCTCCTTCATGGATGGCCTAAAACACAGAGGGTGCTCCTGAGCCCTGCTGGTCCCCAGGCCTGAGTGGTCATGTTCAAATCACCCTGATTATGCAGCTCAGAAAACCCACAGGTACTGGCCGCAGCACAGCACAGACACAGAGAGGCGGAGAGCTGGTGCCACAAGGGCACTCCCAGCAAACCCTGCACACGGCAACGAATGCTGACGCAGGCAGCAAGGGGCAGGCACACTCACCGTCTGCCAAAGAGAAACTGGGCAGAGAGAGCAAAGAAAGGCTGAGCAGTTGAATGCTGCCAGCAGGGACCCATCCACACTCCTGCCCACAGGCTGGGACTACAAGGACAGGGTGTTCTCAACCAGACAGACACAGGTCCACCGTCATGCCCAAGGCTCAAGATCTCAGAAGGACATGGAGTCAAGAGGCCTGGCATTCGTGAGAAGCCCAGCTGAAGCCAGGAGACTAGTGAGGTGCACACAGACCTGTGCCCAGAGCACAACTCTCCCCCGTGTGCAGGCTCTGTGGCAGCCAGAGAGCAAGTTGCACAACCACATTAGTGTTTAAAAAGCACACTGCACGTGTATGCTGTTTACACATACATGTAAGTGGAAACGTCTCAAAGTGTGCCCCAATAAATTAACACTGAATTAATCTGCCACAGAGGTAGGAGGAACGTGAGGACCACACCCTCGAGGGAGTCTGTGCCTGCCTACAGTGATGAGGTGCACTCAGGGAGGTGGCATATGGTTCACGTGAACACAAACTGTGAACACTGGTTGACACACACCAACACTGCCACCAACCCTCACGGATGAAACACTGTAACACGATAGATACATCACAGGGGAAACTGGGGAGGGGGCATGCAGGAACTCTACTATTTGATCAGTTTTTCTGTGTATCTAACACTATCTTTTAAAAAATTAAAAACTAGGGCTGGGGCTGTAGCTCAGTGGCAGAGTGCTTGCCTAGCACGTGTGAGGCGCTGGGTTCCATCTTCAGCACCACATAAAAAAATAAACGAATAAAATATAGGTATGCTGCCCATCTACACCTACAAGAAAATTTCTTAAAAATTAAATCTATGGGGGGTTTGTTAGGAGAAGGCAACGCAGGGATGTCCTTGGGGAACTGTGCCACCTCTGCCCACAGGACAGAGGTTTATTAGCACAACTTCTTTGTCAGTTTGTGCTTTATGGTGGTGCTTCATGTGTGAGGGAAGATCCTCACACATGAAGATGACACCCAGGCAGGGTGTGCAGGGCCATTCTGGGCGAGAAACGTGTGCTCTAAGGAGCAGAGCCAGGCGGCCGCAGTGCGCACCACTCACACGTGCTCCCAGCGATTTGCAGAGAAGAGCAGGTGCACCGAGTGGTCCTCCAGTTCACTTTTCTTTTCCAAGTAGGAACTCAGAAGTTTGCCAATTTCAGTTGATCTTTCTAGGATAAAAAGAAAAAAACACAAATATTTGTGAGGTTAGTCCATTTAATTTAGAATATAGTTTATGTTAAATTTCTCATCCTGGACTCAAGTCTAATTACTCAGTTTTACTTTACTAAATCTCTGGACAGGTTCAGATTGTCCCAGGAAGCCAAGGAGTTTCCCTGAGAAAAACAGTAATATGCAGAGGCCTTGAAGAAAGTAATTCAGGAAGAAGAAAGGTTGTGACATCACAGAAATGAGGTCTGAGGACTAGCTGGCTTGAAGACTGGAACCTGTTAAATATTCAAGAAATCCCTCCCACCCGTTTCCTAACCCTGTTTTATATGCTATCTCTTGATGGAATAGTGGTGGTTATATTTCCATAAACCTTTTCAGAGTCGATGCTTTCCTTTACTAACAATACTGGGCTGGGGGTGTTGCTCAGTGGTAGAGGGTGCTTAACATGCAGCGTCTTGGGTTCCATCCCGCATACCTAAAAAATTAAAAACAAAGACGAAACCCAAAAGTGAGAGTGAAGAGCAGATTGTGCCTAGCCCTGAGTCACTCCACCTTGTAAAGCAGCTGTTTGCCACAAGCTGCTCTATCATGAGCACTGGTGCCAGAGTAGGTGACTCCACACCTTGTTAGCACAAGTGAACAGCCACCGTCTGCCCAGCACCACCATAAAGCACAAACTGACAAAGAAGTTGTGCTAATAAAAACGACCACCTGTGAACTTACTGATCAGAAGCACTTGGACGCATGGGTTTATCCACCCCATAAAAACAAAAACAAGCCCTTGAAATCATCTAAAATACAAAGTGATCCTCTCACATGAAATGCACAAGAGGAGGAGCACCCCAAGACTGGTTGCCGCACACAACCAACCAGACCTCAGATCATCTCAACAGAGGGCAACAGGTAATGAACCTGCGATTTCTGTCCACCTCCCTACTCCAACTGGACCCTGGCTTAGTGTTAGTTCTGGGCCTTCCAGCTCCGCACCCTGAACAAGTTCTTGTTCCTGAGCTTATCTGACCAAATACAGTGACTCTTTGCTTTGGTATCTGCTCTCTGACTTTGGTCGGCTCAGCCTCCTGAACCCCTGTGGTCACCTTAATCTTGAATTTAGCTTTCTGTACTTTACTTATATATTTTTTATATAAATTGTGAGTTGCGAGTTGAGTGTTGTAGCGTTAGGAATTAAGGTTGGAATAAAGAACTTGTGACTGCCTGTCCTATGAGCACCGTGCGACCCGAGGACCCAGTGCAGAGCAGCTGATGAAAATGGTGCAGCCTTTGAATTTATTGTCGTTCAATAAGTCCTGACACTGTGGAAAGACACCGGCGTGTTCGGTCTACGCTAACAATGGGGTGGCTCCTGCAAGACAGTGAGGCTGGGATGCAGCAGCCACCGGCTCGCAGCGGGAAGGGGAAGCGCGGCAGCTCCCCCCCCCCCACCCCGCGCAGCAGCTCCGCGCAGTCGCCCACCCGCCTCGCCGGCCCGCGCGCACCGGGGAAGCGCAGCAGCTCAGCGGGATAGCCCGCGGCGCACAGCGCAGCCACCAGCTTGCGGCCCTGCGTGCTCTTGCCCGCGCGGTCCACACCCTCCAGCACAATCAGCGCCCCACGACGTCCCGCCATGTCGTCCAGCGCGCGCTCTGCGGAGCTCCCGCCAACCCCCGCGCCCGCATCCGCGGCGCACGCCAGGATTGGCTGGGACCGGGGAGGGGCGGGCTGGCGCGTGCGCCTCGGGCTGCACCGCCTCTTCCGGGCCTCGGTCGGCGCGGGGAGGGCGCAGGCGCTGGCTGGGGCGGCTGGGCCTGCGCGTGCCAGGCGCCTCCGGGCTGGCTGCGTGGCGGCAGTGCGTCTGCGCGCGCGGCCGCGCGTGGGGCTGGAAGTCCTGCCGTTCCGACCCGCAGGATCCCGGCTGGCCTCCTGGCAGTTCCAGAAACACGGCGGGTTAATAAAGCTCCCCTACTCCCCCAGAGCACGGGCCTGCGGTGCCTTGGGAAAGAGCGGCTGGGGTTGGCTCCCTGACCTCCGGGCGCACCGGCCGAGCGGCGAGGGCTGCCGCCTGCCCGGGTGCCGGGCGGCGCCGACTCTCAGTGGAGCTCCTGGCTAGTTTCAGAGGTCCCAGACACTGGCGTCCTGCGCCCCGTGGTCAGCAGCCCCTCGGGCTCCTGGCTGCCCGGCCTCAGCCAGACGTCGCTTGGTGATGGTTAGGGACCTTTTGTCATGACCGGCTGCCCGCGCTCTTCAGGACCTCAGGTTTCTGGCCGCCCGACCAGAGCTAGACCCCAGGAGCCGGGTGTCCGTCCTTCCCGGACCTCTGGAGCCCATCTGCCGGCGGTCGGCAGGACACCACTCTGCAAACGGCCGAGTAGGGGCCGCGAAGTCGCAGAAGCTTCTCCGTAGCTTGGGCTAGATCTTGGCAACTCCTACAAAACTTTGAGGGCATTTTTCTTGGGAGGCAGTCAGAAATGTGAGAAGCTTGAGGCTGTTCTCTACTGAGCTCTTTCCTTTTTTTCCCACTTTTAAAAAAATTTGTTCTGATTAGTTCTACCTGACAGTAGAGTGCACTTTGCATCATACATATATGGAGTGTGACTTCTTATTCTTCTGGCTGTACAAGATGCAGAATCACACTGGTCGCGTAGTTACATGTGCACATGGGGTAATAATGTCCACTCCATTCTACTATCCTTCCTACCCAGTGTCCCTCCCCTCCCTTCACTCCTAATCCACAGTAACTCTCTTCTTCCCTAGCCCCCCACCCCTTATTGTGAATTAGCATCCGCATATCAGAGAAAACACTGGGCCTTTGGTTTTGGGGATTGGTTTATTTTGCTTAGCATGATAGTCTAGCTTCATCCATTTACCTGCAAGTGCCATAATTTCATTCTCCTTAAAGGCTGAGTAACATTCCATTGTGTATAGGTACCACATTTTCTTTATCCATTCATCTGTTGAAGGACACCTAACTTGGTTCCATAGTTTAGCTATTGTGAGTTGAGCTGCTATAAACATTGATGTGGCTGGGTCACTGTAGTATTTTATACCCAAAGGACTTAAAATGCTGATTTTAAGTCCTTTGGGTATAAAATAAGGAGTGGGGTAGCTGAGTCAAATGGTGGTTTCATTCCAAGCTTTCTGAGAAATCTCCATACTGATTTCCAGAGTGGTGGTACCAATTTGCAGATCCACCAGCTATGTATGAGTGTACCTTTTCCCCACATCCTCACCAACATTTATGGTTAATTATATTCTTGATAATTGCCATTCTGACTGGAGTGAGATGGAATCTTAGAGTAGTTTTGATTGGTATTTTTCTAAGTGCTAAGAATGTTGAGCATTTTTTCTTTCACATCTTCTTTCCTTTTATTGAAAAAAAAATTTTAGAAAATGGGATTGGCCTTAATAAAGGGCGCAAACAAATCAACAGGGATATACTATGGAAAACAGACAATATAAAATCAAAAATGTCACTGGCTTCTTCAATTAGTTAAGAACACAAAATGTTTAACAGGCAGGTCTGTTTTAGACAAATTTAAAAGCTATATTTTGTGGGCTTTTTTGTAGTTTCCCCAAGTCAGATATATACACACCCACAAAAATGGTGTTTGAGGAAAGCTGTCATACACAAGAAGTTGTATCCTGAATTCTTCAGGAAACAGTTGTTGAAACAGGAATTAACACGAAGTCAGCAACAGGTTAACAATTTTTTAAAATTGAGTCTTCAAATGCTGCATGGCACGAAGCTAAACTATAGAAAATAATACTAGGTACAAAAAAAAAAAAAAAAAGTTTTGTACAGCTTTTAGCAAGAATGCTTTTCCAAAGCAAGGCAAAACAACTCAATCAGCAGACCAAGGAAGCTAGGCTAGAAATAAGAGCTCCAACTTCTCGTATCCGTGCTAGAAAATCCTACTTCTCCAGAAGAGACTGAAATTTCAGGACAAAAAAGGGACATTTTAAACATTTCTTTCTTTACCCATTTTAAGTTCTGTTTCTTCCCCCACCCATCCAGTAATTCAGCATGATCCAGCAGAAAGAGGGCTGCTTTTAGAACTGGCTATTTTATTTTTCTTTCTGTGGCAAGACTGGATATTTCAGGCTCCTATGCATCCAAGACCAGTGTCCCGCTGTGGCTGTGGTCAAAAAACTTGGCGTTAGACTTGGTGAATTCGGCTTCCTGCTGCTGCTTTGTTCTCCCACTGATGAAGGTCAGTTTCTGTGTATATTTGTCATCAAACCTTTTGAGACTGGAGGACAGTTGCCAAATATCATCAGGATCCATCCCAGTAGGATCCTTCCTGTGAGCCACAAGAAAGATGCTCTTCTCCTTATATGAGGTATAAATGGTCAGAATCCCCATCATCACAAAATAGGATATGACACGTAGAGCCAAAACTGGCTTGAACTCTGGAAAGGGTGCATATAATCCCAAATCAAAGCCACTATGGCAAAAAAACAGGAGATGGCACAGGTGGTGAGGCAACCGTCAGCCCAAAATTCTCCACATACTTGTACTTTTCCAGAAGTACCTTTTTGGCAGAATCATCCAAAGAGTTTTTCACAGCGGATCCACCCCATTTGTTAGTTTTTACAGGCTTATCATCAGTTTTCCACTTATCTAACAAGCCCCTATGGCTGCCGCCTGTCCCACAGCTGGGGCCACCACCACTTCTCCCGCCCTGTGCTGCCGCCACCGCCGCCGCCATCTTGTCTCTGAACATTTTTTTTTTTTTTTGTATATTTGTTGATTGATTTTATTTCTTCTGAGAAGTGTATGTTCAGTTCCTTAGCCCATTTATGGATTAGGTTATTTTATTTTATTTTGGTGTTAAGTTTTTTGTTTTGTTTTGTTTTGTTTAGTGTTAAGTTTTTGGAGTTCTTTCTTCTTGCCTACCTGGGGTAGAACCCATGGACAGGGGCATGCTGAGCACACACCAGAGCCCCTGCTGAGGGAGAGACTCTGGGGAGCTTTCCAGGTGAACAGTAGGGGCATCCAGGGCACTGGCAAGGCGGGCAGCGGTTTCCAACTTCCTTGCTGCGTTGCTGCCTAGGAACGGCAGAGCGAGCATCCGCACGCAGCTTCATCTCTTAGGAATAATGTCAGCGTGCTCACCACCAGCTGCCTTCCTCCCTGTTATTCTGCTCCTGCAGATGGAGTGGCTGAGGCTGAAGTTTATTTTCTCACAGCTCTGAACATGCAAAGTCTAGGAGCAGGACAGATGCCTGCTGAGAGCTGTCCTGGTCACTGCATTCTCACTGGGCAGAGGGCAGCACCCTCTGGTGTCTCTTCCTCTTATTAGGCACCAGCCCTATAGAGTGGCTCCCATCCTTGTGACCTTTGTTTCCACCTGAAAGTCCTAACTCCACAGTCACAATGGGGCTTAGGGCTTCAACAGAAGGACTTTGGGGGGACATTAATCTACTTCCCAAATAGGACTGTTTCGGGCCTGTCTCTGCCAGCCAAACCCCGCTTCCCAGCCAGCCCTCCTTGCCATTAGGACAGGTGTTTGAGTTCCTGTCCATGGAAAGAGCACATGCAGCTGGTGTGCACCTCAGACCTCCGGTGGGCATCCTTCCTGCTCCGTCTCCCAGACACCTTGTCATGCAAAGGTGAGCCCTTTTGTGGGCAGACACTGCCAGAAGGAATTAGGGCCCTGAGTGACCCCATGGAGCAGAGCTGGCCTCCTTCCCTGAGCTGTTTACACGAGAATGCTACATAAAGAAGCACAGTCTGTCTTTCCTAAGCTTGGGTTTCAGTTGGATTTCTTTGTTAGAATAGCTTGGGCTTCCCCAGTAATACTGGTTCTCAGTTGGTGATTTTACCCCTAAGGGGGCATTTGGTGATGTTTAGGGACACTTTGTCATGACTTGAGGGGTGGGTGCTAAAAAATAAAATAAAAATAAAAACACAAGATGACCCTCACAGCATAGTTATTGAGCCTGTTTTGGGGGGATACTGGGGATTATTTTTTATTTTGAGACAGAGTCTCACTGAGTTGCTGAGACTGGCTTTGAACTTGCAATCATCCTGCCTCAGCCTCCCACGTTACTGGGATCACAGGTGTGTGCTTGATGAGTTAGGGAGCCTCAAAGGTCAATTGTGTGAAGGTGGAGACACTGTCTTATAACCATAGTGGAGGCACAGGGGGTCTTCCTTCTGTCAGTCTCTAAATCAGGATTGCAAGAGGGGTTGGTCAAGTTGAATCTGGAAGAAGTTATTTTCCATATATGTTATAAAAAGCACCAGGGACCAAACCCAGAGCTTCAGGTCTGCTGAGCTGGCCCTCTACCACTGAGCTACATCCCAATCCTCAATAACTTTATTTATATTTTATATATATATTTAGAAGAAATAGGTAAAGGGCATACAGAAGAAAATGTTGGAAAGGATATAAATAGCCAAACAATATGTAAATAATACTTAGCATCTCTTCACATTCCCATTTAGGAATTACAATGAGAGGGGCTGGAGTTGTAGCTCAGTGGTAGAGCACTTGCCTAACATTTGTGATGTGCTGGGTTTGAGCCTCAGAACCATACAAAAATGAATAAAATAAAGGTATTATTTCCATCTACAACCCAAAAAATTTTTTTATAAAAGAATTACAATGAAAACTTTGAAGTTTGTTGCTGCTACTTTTTCTTTTGTTCCTCACAAGTTAGAGTTTTTTGTTTTTTTTTTTTTTTTTTTTTTTTTTTAGCCTGATTACACCTGGAGTTGGTGAAAATACAAAAAGCACAGGTGGTGGGATGTCACCACCACCTGTCTGGTCCTCCCTGGTGGGAGCAGAGTTGGGTACCCTTCCCCGGCAGGTGTGCAGTGTCAGTTGGCCTAAATATCCCCAGCTGTTTGAAGCGTCATATTTAGAAGGTGGTACAGTCTTTGAAGCAGCAATGCTGTTTCTGATGTGAATCTTGAAGCCCTGATGAGCCCATGTGGTAGGCAGGCGATGACCTTTTCAGCCTTGTATGGTTACCTAGGATCTAATTCCCCCCTAGGTACTTGGTTGGCCCCCACGACTCTCTGGGCCAGTGGAATATCATCAGATGAAGTCTTGGAACAACCATGGTGCTGTCCTGCAGCCCCATCCTAGCCTCCTTTGAACCTATTTCTGGAGTCCCCGAGCATCAGGTAAGGTGTCTACTAGCTGGGACTGCTGTGCTGGAGAGGCCACAGGTAGGTGTTCTGGTCCATGATGACAGCTGAACACAGCCTTCTAGGCCCTCAGTGACTGCTGCTGGGAATGAGATGTCAGTAGATGTACATGGAATAGAATTCCACAGTTGAGTCCTTATGAAATCCCTGCCTGAGAAACTCTGGGACATAATACAGTGGTTCTTTTAAGGCATTAGATTTTCAAGCAGTCCATCATTCGGTTCTAGATAACTGGACTGAGGGATACATACCGCTATGTGTATAAGCTTGTTCACGGGTCATAATACATGTAAATGAGAAATTGGAAACAAAGGAAGTAGTGTCTGTCACTAAGGAGTTTGCGGAGGGGTGTACACCAACACAGTGGAGTGTACCTGGTAAGCAGGCTGAAAGAGTGGTGAAGGGTGGCCACTGTTCATGGACAGTGTTCACAACATGAGAAACAGAAGCTGAAATCCCAGTGGCTAGAGAGGCTGAGGCAGGAGGATCACCAGCTCCAGGCCAGCCTGGGTAACTTAGTGAGACCCTGTCTCAAAATAAGAAATAAGTGGGCTGGGGCTGGGGCTCAGCGGTAGTGCACTTGCCTGGCATGTGTGAGGCACCGGGTTTGATTCTCAGCACTGCATATAAATAAATAAAATAAAGGTCTATCAACAACTAAAAAAAATATTTAAAAAAATAAGAAATAAAACAGCTGGGGGGTGTAGCTTAGTGATAGAGCATCCCTGGGTTCAAGGCCCAGTTCTGGAGGGGAAAATAAAACAGACCCGAACTGATGACCTCACCAAACAAGATATTCAGATGCCAAATATACATATGAAAACCTGTTCCACACCAAGGTCATTAAGGAATTGCAGATCAAAACAATGAGGTACTTCCCCACCTTTATTAGAATGGCCGTGATCCAGAACTCTGACTACACCGGACACTGTGAGAACAAGGAGCTGCAGGAGCTCTCATTCATTGCTCCTGGGAATGAAAGATGGCACGGCCCCTGTGGAAGACGGGCTGGGGCTGTAGCTCAGTGGTGGAGCACTTACCTACCATGTGTGAGGCACTGGGTTTGATTCAGAACCACATATAATAAATACAGCCCACTGACAACTAAAAAAAAAAATATTTTAAAAAAAGGAATGAACTATCCAGTCACAAAAAGACATGGAGGAACCTTACGTGTGTATTGGTATGTGAAAGGAGTCATCTAATAAGACTGCACACTATATGATTCTGAAAAAGGCAAATTTTCCAGACATGGAGACAGTAAAATGAACCATGGATGCAAGGTGCTGAAGGGGAAAGGGAGCTGGGTGAGTGGGTGGAGCACAGGAGACTTAGGGCAGTGAAACTATTGTGTGTGCTGTGGTGGGGATACTTGACATGCACCTGCCAAAATCCAGACTATTTCACACCAAGAGTGAACCCGAAATGTAGACTATGGGATGTAGTTAATAATAATGTAT